AGGCACAAAGGAAAATAGAAGAAGCAATTCGCCAGGTTAGTTGGCATAATAAATCTTGTCATCCTTATTATTTTCAATTAAAATTATCTTTTATTTTTCTTTTCTATTGTATTCTTTTGTCGACATTTACATTGGCAGAAGTGTACTGGATGATGTTCCGAAGACTGTTTCAAGTTGTTAGCACAAGCGTTCCCTTTGTTACATTCTTTAATTTCAATATGGTTATTTTCGCGTGAATGGACCATAAACAGTCATTCTTGCTCTTTTTCCTCGTATTTTTCTGAACGCATTAGTTTAAGCACGACTTACCATTGGAATAGACAAATATATTGGCAAGTGTCTGAAATAACATCTTCATAGGACATTTATTATTTGATCTAATATTGATTTGGCTACGTTAAGTGGCTTTTATATTGAGACACTCGAATATGAACTAATGACGTTCATTTAAATGAGGATTGTATCCTTTCCTACTAGCGTCTCTTGCAGCAGCTTCTAATATGCTTAATATTGATATATTGTTGTGATCATCATTCTATCAACCTTTAAATTATCTGTAGCTTTTGCCTGTTGATTTTTGACGACAGTCTGTGGAACTTGTAGTTGATTTGATTGATCGATATACATAGAGGATTCATATAGCCAAGATTCACATAGCCGGTCCCAACTAATTTGGATTTGGACCTAATTGATTGATTGGCTGCTAGAGTTTGTGGTACTTGTCCTTGATCATCCGTACTCTCTTTGCAAATTCTTTTGCAGTAAAACGCCTTAATCATAAAGCCTTGCCAATCCTTCTACCTTTAGTAGTTTTCTCTTTCATTGCGATGTCTACCAAAAAATGGCAAAAAGTCCATTATGCAATCGAAGTTCGGTCTAGTTGTGTTAGAGCTTTTCCATGTTTTGCATATTTTCCAGAAAGGAATCGAAGAAAACTGGGCAGCTGCATTGGAATACAATCCTGAAGCTTTTGCAAGGGTGGTATGTAAAACTACCTCATGCCTTTTGAAAATTGATTTTCTGTGGTTTTAATGAAGCTGGTTTAATATGTTACCATTATCAAAGCTGGTTTAACTTTTATGGCTTATTTCAGGTTATGTTATATGTTGACATGGAAGTAAATGGCCATCCTCTAAAGGTAGGGATTTTGATTTGGATGTGTTGCATCTTCTTGGTACATCTTGTTACTTTTGGTTGAGTGGGATATTATCTTTCTCTTTGGTTTAGGCTTTTGTGGATAGTGGAGCTCAGTCAACAATTATATCTAAAAGCT